ATATATATATATATATATATGTGTGTGTGTGTGTGTAACATTCTTATTTTTTTGTATATATGTGTGTTGTGTGTATGTGTTCTTACGTATCATACATATATATATTATGCATCTAGATATGCGAAACATGCGGATTGTTATAGTGGTTTATTTTATATATATATATATATATATATATATATATATATAGAGAGAGAGAGAGAGAGAGAGAGGACGCTGGTAAATGCTAGTGGAAATAATACATACATCCACTCTCCTAGGGTTTTTCTCCATATATATATATATATATATGTGTGTGTGTGTACGCGAGTGTAACATTCTTATATGCTGTGTTGTGGATATGTGTGTGGGTGTGTAACATTCTTATTTTTGGTGTATATGTTTATGTGTGTATTCATACATACATTATATATATATATAGTGCATCTAAACGTGCAAAGAAAACGGAATGTTACAGTGGTTTATATCTGCGAGATTGTGTGTGTGTATATATACATATAGGTGGTCATTGATAGCGGGAAGAATACCAGGACGGACAGATAACGAGATCAAGAATTATTGGAACACTCACCTCAGCAAGAAACTTATCAGACGAGGCATTGATCCTCGAACCCACAAGCCGCTAGATGCCGCTGCTGCAAACGACAAGAGTATCCAAGTTTCTTCTTCCTCGTGTGAACACCACCATCTTCAAACCGCCATTGAATCCGGAGATGGAACTGCAGGCTTCAACGAGAATATTCTCTCTACTGGACATGGCTATGATGATGATCATCATCATCATCATCAGTTTATGGTCCAGAATAGCCATTCGGGTCTCGACGACTTTGATTTCTGCTACGACGATACGTTCTCCTCGTTTCTGGATTCCCTCATCAATGAAGACCCTTTTGGTAACTCATGCCAACAACCAATTCATCTCGGAGAATGTTCTCATGATATTGTCGGAGGTAATGTTACATCATCGATAGCTTCCGATGATCATGTTATGCTGCCTGAAAACAAGTGATCATCATGTATATATACATGCATGCACACACATATATTATATATATACACTTATATATATATGTATTTCTCGCCCATTGTTCATCTTTTGATGGTGTTATGGATCTATTACGCGTGTGGTGTAGTGTAATCAGATTATAATAATGAGATGTTATATGAACATTTTCATATGCTTAATTACTCTTAATATATAAGCATGATAATGAAGACCCTTCTGGATCTATTTTCATATGTACATCGTTCCGTGTTACTACGCGAACTTACTCCATTATCACCGATGATTTAGCTTCGTGTTGCTCTAAGTTTCTTCATGTTCCTCCCCCTCCCGAACCAAACCACCGTCATTCTTTGTTACCAAAGAACATCACGTCGTTTTTGGCTTGTGGTTGCGCACGTCATCTCGTTTACGCTCAACGAAAACGCCAATACTTTCACCTACCTGCGGGCTTTAGGAAACACGTACCGAGCTCGCCCCAGCTGTTAACAGTAATGGGCCTAAACCGGCTTTTAACTTTTAGCAGCCCATCAAGCCCTACGAAAATAGATTTTGATCAAATTCAATGTATACCGTTGGATCAGTTGGAATGAATACGAACCGTTGGATTATTCAAGTTCGCATCCGTTGACTTTGTCAACTCGAACAATTGTGGGTGGGGTTGACTATTGCTGTCCTGTTCCCGACCTAACCTTCTGTTTGACCCTTCGGTGTTTGGTTCCGAACGGCAAAACTCCGTAACTTAACTGCAATTCTTCGGAAAAATGACTCAACTAACAACACATTAACCAAAACAAAACAAACAAAATTGCATAATTTTCGAAAACCTAATCCCAATTTATTCGACAGAGAGCTTCGTGCATGCACGAGTTTGGTCGTATACACAAAAGTTATATACGTCTTTAAAATGTAAGTAATCAAGAACACAAAAAATTACATGACATGCTTACAACCACACTGGTGTTGACGTTGCTATTACGGATCAAAACAAAACGCATGTTTTTTTTCTTGTAATGAATTTAATATAACATCCGATAATAATATCCATTTTCGAGTCTGCTCGAAATTTCTATCATATATATATAGACACATAAATTTTAAAATGTTGAAGTGTTTGGAGTAATCATACATCAAGAAATGATTTTTTACATACGTAATAATACACCGAATGTTGACGAAGAGTGCTGAAATATTATTCAACTATAATATAATCAAGAACAAAAAAGAAGCATAATCTAAGAAATTTTAAGTGTGTACATACACATTCATGCATACACACGTACATATGTGTGCGTGTATGTTCATTGCTATGGGGAGTGTGTGTGTGTATGTGTGTGTCTTAGTACGTGCGCGTGTATATATATCACTAAACCGATGAAAGTATGTCATAAGAGTGTAAATTTACTAACCGATGATCACCAACTATATGACGATAGCCTTGAAGATAAAATCAAGAACATGTAGACGACGAGCATGAACTATTGATGGAAAGACTTGCCCGTTTGCAGAGAATTTAGTTCCCTCTCTTTTTTATGGAAGAGACGAAAAGACTTGGAACACCAAAGAGAAGAAGACATATATATATATATATATATATGTGTGTGTGTGTGTGCTTCTCTTTAATTTTTACATGGAGCGATGTATACGTGAAACGGTGAAAGTTTGGTTGCATGACCAAACGATCCGCTATTACAGTTGTTATATAAATATAATATTTAATAAGAAAAACTTTAAAAATCGATTATGCGCATATTATAGATATACATGTATGCAAATATAAACGGAAAAAACTGTAATAACGCGACGAGTTCTTGTGATAAAAATATCCGCGAATAACAAACATGCGATGGAGATAGTGTTTTATAGATGCAAATAATATATATATAAAAAAACGGAGATTGGCGTTACTCATGTGGAAGGGTGGTGTATATAAGTTCTACATCTTAATTTGTTAAAAAAATTATAATGTATTATTTGAAATTTTGAATATTTTCAGAAATATTAGTTAAATATTTTTGTTAATTATGTAAAGGAACAAGAATACGGGTATATTGACCGGTAGATGGTCTTCCGTTCCGACATTTTCTCCGATGGCAACACGAATTAATTTCGACCGTATACAAAACCAGGAATACTCAGTTATAGAAATTATCGCCTCTTACGATTAGGTGGCAACTATAATATTAATACTCGTGGTCGTGATGGTCTTTGTAATTTACAACAATATAATTGGCATTAATCTTTAATCATTTCAACTAATTTATATACCATTAATAATAAAAAAAACAATAGTAATTTTATACGTTTATCAACTATAAGACCAAATAACGTCCTCAAAGGTTGATACATATAGTATAACATTTTCCTCCTATAATTAGAGGTTAGGGTTCATATTCATAGATGAACAGAAATTAATCTAAATGTAAAAGAATTTAAAATACCGGTTTATAATTGAACGATATCCTCGTGGTCAATTCAAAAAAATTATAAAGTCATTCTCTTTTCTCTATCTCTAACGAATGTTTTAGACAAGAGAATGAGTTGATTTCCGACCAAACCCTCTTGTTTTCCTGTACAGTTCATAAGATAACTCTGAAGAAAACCAAACCTACCCACCACCATCACCATTGGTAGCTAAGCTTCCACTAAGTGAGTTACACTTACAGTTACAAAGAATCGACCCTTAATGGTACAAACTATCAGTTTTTCACATGAAAGTTCCCCCTGTTCTCTGAGCAAAGAAAAAAGCACATTTCTTGGCGAGTCCAATCTTCTCTGGATACCTTGATGACGATACTGTATTTATATTGTCCTGGATCGTATCGAAAAGCCTCTGTCTCGGTCACCTGGCAAATCTCAATGTCCACTCTGCAGCTAGTTCATCGTGCTTTGCTCTGTCTGACAAGTATAGGTGGGCAATGCCCGGTAATGCTGGATTATCTGCAGGGAGAAGAAAGTGCCAAGATTAAATATGTTCAAAGAATGATAAAACATTCTAAAGCAAACCAATGTTTTAGGACTGCTCAGTTCAGTTCAGAACACCGAGGTTATTACATGGGTCAGGTTTAATGAAGTTGGATCTGATGGCTTGTAGAATCTTCGTAATTGTACGTGCCGGGCTCCAATTATCCCTCAGAATATCCAAACTTAGATTCCCGGAAGTATCGACGTTGCAGTGGTAGATCCTAGTCTTGAACACAACCTGCAAACCTCACATCCTTGTAGGAATGTAAACGCCATAAACACTGGAACCATTTTTCGACAATGATCTACATCATAGTTACTGGCAATATCATCGAGTAAAAACAAAAAATGCAAGTAATCTTTAACAAATCTAGAGGGCCAAGATCTCAGAAAACCCCAAGGAAGGTGCCGAATTTAGAGATCCGGTGAAATGGAGTCCTTGAAGAGCTTATGATATTCACTAATCCAGTGAAGTTCTTCCTAAGCATTTGGTGCTAAGAGCAACTCAACATTGGCCACCCAACTCAAACAACGAAATTTCACCAGTTGGATATTGTCTCCCAAAACTTTTGACACCACCAAGAAATCATTTGTTCCTAAGATTTACAAAAGAATGGAAGCTTCTTTCATGAGAAATACACTGAAAGATCAAAACTTACCTTTGGTGGCTTGAAGGGATAATCACTCGGGAAAATTATGTCCATGAAAAATATGCCTCCTTCATAAGGTGTTCCTGCAACAGGAATCGAATTTCAAAATCAACCCCTCAAAACCCTAGAGCGAAGCCGAATTCAAAACGGGCAAAAGGGACGAAGGACAAACCCTCGGGGCCGATAATGGTGGCGATCCAGTGGTAGAGATTATCGCCCTTCGGTCCGGCGGAACAATCGGGAGGAGGGTCCATGTTCAGCTCCGTCATCTCTCTCTGAATCCTCTTCCCCGACGCCGACACAGAGGTCTTCGACACCCAAGACGACGTCGTTCCCGTTCCTCCACCGTACATCGCCGCCGGGAATGACGTCAGCCTCCCACCTCCGCCCGGTGGCATCATCTCCGATGCTTATCCAACCCACGTCGTCGGCTTGTTCGCTCCCTGGAGACTGGCGGATCGTTTGGCCGAACGAAACGCAGCGTTTTGATCTCATCATGGAACTTATGGAAAAGTTATCGCTGACGTGGTGGATCATGAACCCATGAAATGGACTTTTCCCCACAATTTTGTACTTTTTTCATATATATATATATATATATATATATATATTATATCAGTTGTCCCATACTAAATAAATTTTTATAAGGAAAACATTTTTATAAAGAAAACCAAATCCAAATCAAACAACAACAAAAATTAAATTAAAAAAAAAACTGGAAAAAATACCAGAAATACCCACCATTAATATATATATATATATATATATATATATGAACTTTGACAAGAACTTCGTTAAATGCCCTCAAACTCAAATCACATTTGTCCGAGATTTTTGTCCATATGTGTAAGACCCCCCCCAAAAAAGAAAAAAGAATGAGAACACTTGTGAAAACTCTACCAAAATAAACAAGAAAACGCAGTAACCGGCAAAACCAAGCTCCGGTCATCTCTTCCCCAAAACGCAGTTCAAGAATCACCAGGTAACGAGCAAAAAGCCGTTGTTCTCAAGCAAGATCACGATTACAATCACCAATGACGGCGCCCAGAACTGAAGATAGCGGTCTGATTCCACAAGTGCGTTTGCGTTGCCTCCTATCGGGCTCACTGGTCCAAACGCAGCCGGTGGGAAGTTTCCTCCCGTCGCGTTTGCGTTCGCGCTGAAAACAATTTGTTTTCCGAGTTCAAGAAACTCACACGCAAGAATCTAAGACAAAGACAAGGAGTAGTTAAGGTCGTTACCTGCCAGTGAATCTACATGTTCCGTAGCCTGCAAGGCACAAAGACGAAAGAATATCAGAGATTACCAAACAGAAGAACGCGTAAAATGATGTCAGATTCCGAACACATACTTGGATCTCTGGTCGTGGTGGTGGCAGTTCCGTCGAAATCGCAACTTCCCCCGGCATTTTTCATCTTCTGGTAATAATCGTTGTACGCGAAAGAAGCGTGACTCTTGAGGTTGTCGGGAAGATAACAAGGCCGTCCGGGCTGAATGGCTGAGCAGTTGGCTTGGCCTCGGCCACACGCCCAGTTCAGACCGTCCTGCAACTTTTCCGGGTCAGCGTCATCTTTCGCGACGCAGAAAACCACCGAACCATTCAGAGACTCTGCCTGGTCTGAACCGGGATCTATTACGCGTGTGGTGTAGTGTAATCAGATTATAATAATGAGATGTTATATGAACATTTTCATATGCTTAATTACTCTTAATATATAAGCATGATAATGAAGACCCTTCTGGATCTATTTTCATATGTACATCGTTCCGTGTTACTACGCGAACTTACTCCATTATCACCGATGATTTAGCTTCGTGTTGCTCTAAGTTTCTTCATGTTCCTCCGTTAAAAGCGTCTGCCTGGTCTGACCCGCCCAAGCTCAAACGATAAACCATCGAGCCATTCGGGTAGAACATTCCCCAGTTCCTCTCCGAGACTGGCCCGGGCCTCTTGTCTTCGTTGTAGAGCTCGTATATGTATGTATTGATGGGGATGTCGGGTTGGCTAGGCGGACCTGAGTTGTTCAAAACTCGCTTGATCAGGTTATTGTTGAATGTTTCGGCATTTTCCGCCGTGGCAGCGGGTTCGTTACCGCCCCCGAGCCAAGGCCAACCCGTTTCCGTTACAACCACCGGGATCTTGGAAAAGTTCATAGCTTCCATCGAATAATACGCAGCATCAACCATCGCGTCAAACATGCTGTTGTATCGTAAAAGCGTGTTCGGATCTACGATCTGTTTCACTGGAGAAAGCGGCTTGAAGAGAGCATACTCGAGCGGGAAAATCCCGTTCCCGGTTGTGTAACCGTAGTAAGGGTAAGCATTCAGCATGAAATATGAACCCGTGTTCTTCAGAAACCGAAGCAGTTGGTAAAAGGTAGCGTTCCACGAGGCGTTGAAGGTGGCCGTGGATGGTGGGAATGGCTTCGGGATGATATCCATAGACATCGGGCTCGAAACTTTGACCCGAAAGTTCAAGTTAGCGGCCACAAGGGCCTTGTGAATGTTGTTAAGAGCCGAGACTAGAGCGGGGGCAACGTGTGGGATCGTGGTTAGAACCTCGCTGCCAACTGCAATGGCAGTGATATTCGTCGAAGGGACATAAGAGGCGACGTTTTTGTTGACCCATGAGGCAGCCGAAGAAGGGTATCTCCCGATACCGAGCAGTTCATCGTTCGTGACACTGACTGTCACTTCGATACCACTTCCGGCTAACGCTTTAAGCATGTGGCTATTAGCGTCGAACAGGCGGATATGAGTGATTTGATGCGATTTGAGTAGTACAACGGCATCCGAGGGCGATGGCATGTTGGTAATATCGGTCCCAATGTTTACTCCAACAAATGCACCTACAAACAAACCATCAATTAAAGGATTCAGAATCTCAAAACTTCACCAAAAAACCCGAGATGACGGGAAAGGTAAGTAATCAAGAACACAAAAA